TTTTTTAATATTCTATGAATGGTCGGGAATTTTACTTTGTACGTCTGAGTTTTCACCCCTAAGACCGGTTTCATTGCTGCCATAGCTACTAATAGTGCTCCCGTTTTCGGGCCTAGCGATGAATAGAACTCACCCAAGCAAGTATTTCGATAGGTGTGTTGATAATTTATTCCGTATTCGCGGACTTCTAGACTGGCTATTGTCTCCCGATCGGTTTATTAATAGGACTCGCCGTCAGACTTGGTTACAAGCGTTTTTTTACAGAGCATTCGGCATAAGAATTGGAGAAGAATAACGTAAAACTCACGTGTCGTGTTTTCATTAACATAAATTAATCTACAAGTCTCATCGATATGCACATTCCAATCTTAAAAGACCACAGATTACTGTTCAACAACGTTAAAGGTAGCAGTTTAAATAGACCTCACTCCGAAACCACGAGCATTCGATACATAAACAGGAGCAGACGGCTTCCCACACTAGCCCGTAGCTGCCACAGTGTACCTAGTTGGTCGCGCAATATGGGTAATACGCCGTCCAGTCTAAAAGTAGAACATATTTTCCTCTGAGTTGGATGCGTCGGGAAATAGAAGGACCGCTGTTGAAATGTCTCAACCAGTGAAACACTCCATTGCTGTGTCATTTTCATGCTGTGGTAAATATTACGAAAATTTGACCTCACCGGTTTCCCAAAGTCCACATTTAGTAGTGTATTTGAAGACGTTTAGAATGTAAGACCTTTTCGTTGCAATATATTCGTTTGAGGATAAGAAGTCGGAGGGACGGAGGGATGCTCCAAGAAAACATTTTTTTAAAGAACATGTTAGTTTTGCCAGGGAAAGGCCGATGTAATGTACTCTATTATGGGCGAAGAAACGAAGATAGGAGTCCCTTTTCTCACTGATGAACGTTCGCAGATCGCTAACGAAACTAATCTGTCCCGCTCTGTCTGGGGTCTCGACAGAGGCCCTTTTTTCGTTGAGTATCTTAGACTTAATTTTTGTTATCAGCTATTTCTTCTCTGAGGTCCAGAAACAAAGTTAAGCAAACACTTTTTCAACTGGGTATTTACCGACAAACGGAGAGCACACTCACGAAGCCCTTTTCTGCCTGATTGGG